GGTGAATTTTTCTGATGTTTTATATGCCTGTGAATATGTTAACTTTGCCTTCACATGTAAATACTGGTTTACCCAGGTATTTAATTCTAGGTCCAAGGTTAGTTTTTCTTCAGCATTGTGGGGACTCTGCTCCATTATCTTGCATCTGTTGTTGCTTTCAAGAAGCTTGACGTCATTCTGACCTTTGTCTGCTTTCACTCTAATGAATATGGTTGAAGTTTCTCTTTGGCTTGAATTTGTTTTAACATCCCAATGTAGTTAGCATACAGTGTTATATTGGTTTCAGGTGTCCAATACAGTGATTCACCAGTTCTATACATTACTCAGTGCTCATTATGATAAGTGTACTCTTAATCCCCTTCTATTTACCCATCTCTATTCTCTATAGTTAAGAATCTGGTTTTTTTCCTATTTTTCCTTTGTTTATTTGTTTTGTTTCTTAAATTCCGTGTATGCATGAGATCATATGGTGTTCGTCTTTCTCTGACTGATATATTTCACTTAGCATTATACTCTCTAGCTCCATCCATATTATTGCAAATGACAAGATTTCATTCATTTTTATGGCTGAGTAATATTCCATTATAGATCTATACCATGTTTTCTTTATCCAGTCATCTATCAGTGGACACTGGGTTGCTTCCATAATTTGGCTATTGTAAATAATGTTTCAATAAACATTAAGGGTACATCTGTCTTTTCAAATTAGTATTTTCGTATTGGAATCACTGGATCATATGGTCATATGGTAATTGTAGTTTTAGTTTTTTGAGGAGGCCCCATACTGTTTTCCACAGTGGCTGTACTAGTTTGCATTCCCACCAACAGTGCACTAGGGTTCCTTTTTCTCCACATCCTCACCAACACTTGCTGTTTCTGGTGTTTTTGATTTTAGCCATTTGGACAGGTGCGAGTTGATACCTCACTGTGATTTTGATTTGCATCTCCCTGATGATCAGTGATGTTGAGCATCTTTTCATGTGTCTGTTGGCCATTTGTATGTTTTCTTTGGAGGGCTTGAATCTTTTTGGATGCCACTAAAATATGCCTGGCTGTGAGTGGGATGTGTTTTTAATTTATTTTCTTTTATACTCTTAATCTTTATTTTGAGGTCTTATATTTAACATTTAGGAAAAATTTTGATTATTGTCTTTTCACTAATTGTCTTATTTTCTTTTCAGATGGCAAGTAGACAGAGTTGCAATTCCTACTTTTATCTTCCATCTATACTTCATTCTTCCTCTGTTTTTTCCCCATCTAATTTTTAGTTCCTAATGCCTTGCAGGATATTGCCTGATCTAACAGTCTGGTTCATTCTGCCTCTTTCCAACAGTATTCATTTCTGACATTCAGGCTATCTACTTAACTCTTTGATCACTTGTGGGTTTTTTTTAAAATATTTATTATACCCAGTTATTTCTTCATATTTATTGCTCCTGATTCATATTTCCAAACTCCTTCTTATGTTCTACCAAGTATTTTTTAGTTTTTTCGATTGTTATCTTATTGGTTCCATTTGGTTTTTCCCATCTGGCCTACATTTTTATTCAATTTTGTCTCTCTCCAATAGAGACCCCACTATACAGCCTTCCCTGTAAACTTCCCTTTCTTAAATTGAGATCATCATTAGCTAGAATTATCAGCCAAGAGACAAAACCCTTGACTCTAGCTTATGTCCCCCAACTGTGTGGGGGTGAGGTTCCCTTCAGGTTGAAGAACCCATACTGTTGAACAACTGCATGACTCTCCCACAAGTCTATTACCATCTTCTCCACGGATCTTTCCCAGTCCCTTGTTCTGGATACCCCTTCTGTCTTGTAGCAGTGGTGGGAAGAACAATTAGTTGGATCTAGGGTATGGGCTTATGCAATCATGTTGCCAATTTTCCAGGTTCTGAATGCCCTGCAATCCAGGCCCAACCAGAAAGTAACAGTCAAGGTTAACAGGTGTAGTAAAACAAACATCTCCTCACCCTACTTTTTCAAGGAAAGATAAGGGAGGAAGCAGGGTACAGCAGCTAGAACCTTCCTCCTCATCTCCTCCTCTGCTTCTGGCCCTAGGCTGTCTGACTCTGGTCTGGCCAAACTGAGGTACAGTTTCCTCCTCTCTCCCAAGGGAGTTTTTACAGTTTTGCCATTAGCTCCTGAACATGGATTAACATTCCACACAAACCATCTTATTTCTCTAGAATCTGTAGGGCACATTTCCAAAGAAAAAGGTAGCTGGTCTTACCGGTTCTTTATTTAATTTGGAACTGCCTGGGATTTTAATTATTTTTCCTTCTCCCAAGTGATTCATCCAAGAAACAGTAGATATGTAAATATATGATGCTATTTACCATTATTATCATCAAGCCACATTGGACAAAGATCTCAAAGATCCTAGGGTAAAAGCAAGAGTGTTGTGGCTTAGCCACAGGGTAAAGGGGTTTACGAAATTTCTATCTTCCCCATCCTCCAGGGTCAAGAGGTGACTGTTAAAATGGCAGTGGCTTAGGATGACACACAGTTGTTATGGGTGACATGTTTACTTTAGTTGTTCTGATCTAGAAAGTAGCCCTCTGGAAGTAAGTAGAAGAGTAAATTGCACAATGACAGCATTTTGCTGATGGTGCCAGTGCTGGGACAGGATAGTTAGATCAAAGGTATAAAATTGAAACAATTCAAATTCCGCTAATATGGCCCTTTAGTTATGATCAGTACATATCAGATTGTAAGCCCCAAGTATTTTATAATCCTTGATTTTAGGGATAAGTAGACCTGTTTTGAAGTTGAAACTAATATGGATAGGCAGCATGAGGCACAACACATGCCTTGTAGTCTTTGTGAGCTGATTCGACTATTGGTGAAGACTTAAACTGGGAATCCAAGATGACACATGGTAAACCCCAGTTTTACCTCTTGGTGTAAAACTGGAGAATGCATTTAGTTTCTCTATACTTTCTTTCTCTTCTGGAAAATTAAGATGATTAGAACAGAGGAATTCCCTCAGGTGTCAAATCTGGTGGCACTGATGATTAATAGAACGTGGATGGATTTGACCATTTGCTGATAAGCCACCTGTGGCCTTAATACATGTACTTAGACACTGAGAAGGACTTTGGACACCTTCCAGTCTGGTTTCTTTATTTGTAAAGATAAGCTGAGGTTAGGAGACACAGAGTACCTTGCTAAGGTCATGTGGCTGTCTAAAGACAGAATCAGCGCTAGGTGTTCTAGGCCTTCAATCCATTCTGTGCTTTTGATAAGATTAGGGAGGCCTCAGATTTTTATCAAGGAACCTATAGGCTCCATGTTGCGTAAACCATAGTTTTGGAAATTGCAACGTTTTAGTGATAAATAGTCTGTAAAGACAGTTGTCTGCATGGCATCTGGTAAAAGAAAAGATAGTGAACGCCACTGCTGTTGTTTACACAAGTCCAAAGAGAGAAATTCTGTGTCTATAGAAATGAATGTCTGTGATCCCAGCATGGGGCAGTGACACATTTAATGGGAGTTGCCTGGAGGGCTGTGTTCTGTAACTGAATGGAGATTATCTTCTGTGTTGTTTTCTATTCCGGATGATATATTCTACAAGACCTTTTGGTTTCATTTGCTCCCATTCCATGTTTGTCAAAAATCTTCTCATTAATGATTTAGTTGTTGAAGTTAATAGGACAGCCTCTGTTACGTAGGGATGGGATGGCTCTGGCGCAGAAAGCAGTCACCTAGTCTATCTCTCCATCAGCCCCCTCAGGGGGAACAAAACAACCAAACAAACAAACAAACAAAATCCTAAAAAAACCTTCAAAAGAAATGTGACATTTTAGTCTACAAAAATGCAGACATTCGGGGGTATTCTGTACAAATTCACCCAATAGAAAGGGTCAGACTTTTAAACGCTGTTAACAAATGTATAATCTCATAGAAGGAATGGGGCACACTACGTGTTAGATGTTACCCATTTTTTCTTTGCACACAAGCTGAGGAGCATGAAAAATGAAAAGGCAAAGGTTAGAAAGCAGAGAAAAATGAAAAGCAGAGGTTAGGAAGAATAAAGGAATGACAGTCTATTCATAGTCATAGTTTTGGTAACTACTCCTTAAATAGGAATATTTCATGAGACCAGGGGAGATAAAGAACTACAACATCTGATAAAATGTCCTAAATCAGGGGGCAGGCATTCTGTGAGCCGTGTCCCAGGTGAGTACATGCAGCCCAGGCAGAGAGAAAAGACCAGCAGTGCTGTCAAAGATAGAGAAGTTCTGCATCCAGTCCAGGGAAAAGAAGGCCAACAGCCACATGCACCACCATACAACTCAGGAGTCCAAGCGCTCTGCCCATTGCAAGCACATTTTATGAATACAGACAGTCTGCCTCTCAGCGTTTTGTTTTGTTTTGTTTTGTTTTCTCCCCAAAGATCTTAAATTTATTTATTTGAGAGTGAGCGAGCGAGAGAGAGCACAATCAGGGCCAAGGGCAGAGGGAGAAGCAGATTCCCTGCTGAGCAGAGAGCCTGATGTGGGACTCCATCCCTGGACTCCTGGACTCCAGAATCCTGGCCTGAACCGCTTAACTAACTGAGCCAGCCAGGCACCCCGCTCATACCACTTTTACAAGCACTCCTGCTTTGCTATGGAGACTTGAGACGTTCAGGTTACTCCTCAGGAAGGAGCCCGCAAGTAATGCTTTAGAAACCAGACGTTTGGGACTACTACAGCAAATCTGTGGCCACTCTGTTGATTCAGGGACCTGGTGTTCAGAATTAATCACTTGATGCATCTCATAACGTGCTGGATATTTGGAATGGGAGATACCAGAGGCCTAATCAGCTGGGGAAAATAAAACATTAGAGGAGCGACAGCCAGCTCTGGTTGAGACTGTCTGGAATCAGGGCGCGGAGGGATTATGTGGCCTCGAGTGCATCCGTATTTAATCTAAAAGATCTACTCTGCCTTAGACTTCTTTACTTGTGTTATTTCTAAGGATTGGGGTAATCTTACCCCTCTTTTCTTCTGTAAGGGATTGGTGAGAAGCCCTAGAAAGGCTGGAATCCAGTTATTTGCCAGCAGGAGACGTGCTGTATAATTAAGCTGTCATTTCCCTGGTGGGTTATTATCAGCAGGTAATAAGAAGTATGTGTCATTATAAATTGTCATACAGTATCTCATGCTGTAGGAGATAAGGTACGTCTTCTGCGGCAAAACAAAGTGATTACATGGTGTCATTACGGCCATCATAAATCACAGCGTCCACTTTAATAGTTAAATAGTTATCTATAGAGGCAGTACTGGAAAATTGGTTAGTAATAACTGCCTGATTTTTGATGAAGAATAATTTTTATGTAGGTCTTTTTGTATAAATACCCGAGGAATTTGAAAGAAGAGCATTCATCTAAAACACACACATGAACACTTTTGTTTATTTTGTTTTGTTTTGTTTTTGGCTTGTTGATCTTTAACTACTGATGTTGGAAGGGTCAGAAAGTCACCAAAATAGCTTCCCACTTTTGAGTTTGTTTGTTTGTTTGTTTATATTATGTTGTGTTAGTCACCATACAGTACATCATTAGTTTTTGATGTGGTATTTCGTGATTCATTGAAGAAGGGCCATATGCACCCCAATTTCATAGCAGCAAAGTCCATAATATCCAGCCCATGGAAGAAGCCAAGATGCCCTTCAACAGACAAATGGGTAAAGAAGATGTGGTTCATATACACAATGGAATATTACACAGCCATCAGAAAGGATGAATACCCAACTTTTGTATCAACATGGATGGGACTGGAGGAGATTATGCTGAGTGAAATAAGTCAAACAGAGAAATACAATTATCATATTTTCTGAGTTTAAAGTTATATATATTTAATATCCTATCCTATTCTATCAAGATTACTGCACAGTTGCACTAAAGAGGCCAAAACTGGCTACTAGTAAATTCAGGTCTATGTGGTTTTCTGTTGTTGGAAACCACAAGGTAGCAAGGAAATGGCTTGCCCTCTGGGGTAAAAGGAAAATATTTCTTGATTTTTGAAGGGCAAAAACTAGGAGTCTTTTCTCTCTTTTTCCTTTTCCTTGTTCCTTGGCCATTCTTTTCCACTTCTCTCTCTCCTCTCATCATGATTTATGTTCTTCAAAATTTAATTCACATTTACCAGCTATAAAAACCTCACCTTGACTGACCCAGCTGTCTCTTCCCCTTCACTTTAGCTGGTAGTAGACTTTGCTCTTTACATGACAAAGTATGACAGATGTCTTCTTAGTGAGAATTTTAATATCATATCCAACTAGACTATTGCATTCCAAAGTATGAAAATATTTGTTTCCAGGATCTTACCCAATATAGAGCTTGCACCGGAATGCAAATTCATCACACGACCCAACATTTATTTTTTCCGCAAGGCCCTCCTGAGGAATTCATGTAAGCTTTATTCACGATAGACTGGTACTTCAATAACACTGAGGTAAGGATGTTAATGGTCACTTTTTCTGCGGGACCTTTGGGAAGGGTGGAACAGCCTGACTGTGAGGGTTATGATGACTGGTTCATGCTGAGGTGTCACATTCACGATGGTGATAATTACAGAGAGGTAACATTTTCGAGCGCTCACTGTGTGTCGCGGCCTGTTCTATGTATGAACATGAATGTTCATGAGTGAACTTGATCCTTACAATGACCTGGTGAGGGGAGGCACTATGAAACTGAGGCCCAGGGAGATTGGTTAATCTCCATTAAACCTTATTGTTAGTTGTAGTGACTAAGTTGGAATTCAATCCGGATAGGACTGAAACCAAAGTCTGTTATATCTGTTTGAGGTCTGTCCAAAAGAAGTTTCTGTAGTGGTGAGAATGTTCTCCATCTGCCACGTCCAATAAAGTAACCACAAACCATATGTGGCATTTGAGCCCTTGAAACGTGGCTAGCTCAACTGAGGAAGTGAATTTTTAATTTAATTTAATTTTAATTAATTTACATTTATAGTTAAATAGCCACATATGGCTAGTGGCGACTGTATTGGACAGCATAGCTCCAGATAATTTTTAGATGACTATAGGCTAATAACAGAAAAACCAAACCAGGAAAATACGTTAAAAGAATTTGCTAGTCTTCCTCCATTTCTAGAGTTTCCCTGGATCCTACATTAAAAAAATATTTTTTGTTGTTTAATGTTAAAAGAGAAGGAAAGGAAAGAAGCGCTACTTGAAATCTGTTGCCATATGGAAGCAGTAGGATTCAATTAAACAACACATTATTGACTGCCTCCTCTAGTTCAGGCATTCTGCAAGGCTTTGGGCATTATGAAAAAATGAATAGGAAGACATAGTTCCTGTCTTCAAGGAGCTCATAATCTAAGGAACCTTGTAGAGATGTTATACATTTTTCTTCCAGAGTCTCTTCATGTATAATTAAAGTATTTAAATATCTGCTATTTTATACTTTGTGGTGTTTTGCTTTTAATTTTTAATATTCTAATTTTTTCAAAAGGTAATGTATTCCCATGGTTTAAAATTTAGAGGGGACCGAGTTGCTTTTAATTCCCTTTTATGGAAGCAACCACAGTTATCATTTCCTAGTTCATACCTTTATAAATATTTTGAGCATGCACAAGGAAACATAAACATAGGTTCAGTCCTTTCTAAAAAAAAAATATGCACTATTGAGTAACCTTGCTTCTTGCACTTAAAAATCTGTATCTTAGATACTTTTTCATACTGGGTGCATAATATTCCATTCTGTGGCTCTGCCGTGATTTGTTTAAGCAGTCCTCTGTGGAGATTTAAGTTCTTTCCAATCTTTTGCTATTACAGGACATACAGACATGAGTAAATTTACCAATTATATTCTAACGTGAGCCAAAGTGAATTGCATTCATGTTCCCCAGAGTATATTCCACAAACAGTCTCAGAAGGTCTTCAACACAAAAAGAGGGTTCTTTGTCTAAATAACTTTCTGTAACTTCCGGGTATTCATTGGGGATGCATAGTCTGCCTTGTTAAATTAAAATAAACCCTACAATAATCTACATCAGTGGAGACCATGCGCTTCCCAGGGCTGGATTTTCTGAGGTACTAGAAGAGACTGTTTTTGTAGGTTGAGATCCCTGGGAAGCCAACTGTGATCTAGAAATGCACATGCAGGAGGTCTGCTGGGGTGTGTTCTCTGGAAGGATATGTACTGGAAGGAAGCCATGACAGAAGTAAAGGAGGCAGAGGGGGCTGGTGAAGAGGGACGCAGCTGGCAGCAGAGACCTCAGCCAGTGGGTCCACGTCCCTTGGAGAGTGAGTGCTCTGCAGCCCAGATGGAGTTTCAGGGATGTTCCAACTCCCAACGAAGGAGGCCAAGCCCCCACACAGAGATGTTGTGATCTTGTGCTAGACAGCTCCCTTCCACTGGGGGCATTTCTAGGGAGAGACCCCGCTCTGAGATGTCATTTGGGGCAGTGAGTGCAGTGAGTACCTCTGTGTTCACCACAACTCCGAATAGCACCTTCACACCTTAATGGGAATGCGTATGGATTCCTTCATAGCCTTGCTGTTCAGAGCAAGTCGCTTGATGTCTTCATCAAGAACTTTCTCTATGATAGATGGATGCCCAGCCGGAAGTTCTTGGGAGTATCTAACATTCTTTGTTTCTAATTCCATTTCAGTATGTACTAATTAAATTGCGGGGTAACAACATAAATTTTCCCAAACATACATTTGGCCACACAGGGTCCTACGACCTGATTAGGTCAGCCGTAATCTGGTATTACTGCTATGCATTCATGGGGAAGGCACATTGTTACAGTGTTTTTAAGAGGGTGTCACTTAACCTGGGGCAGATTCTCAGGGCAAAATGGTAGGAGAGCTGAGTTAGAGTTTCGTTTGTTTTCTAAGTATTTGTGTTGCCTCTTGTTGGGTGTTTCCTGAAGGAGCTAACCTGCAGTCTCCCTGGGCTAGGAAACCTGAGTCCATGTTGCTAACACGTAAAGGATTAGACTGTCCTGAGTCTACCCAGCTTTAAACCACAGTCTTAGGTGCTCTTACTTATCCTCCCTGTTGAAGTTCAGGGATAAACAGGAAGCCAGCAAGCCATAGCCATGTCTCAGGGGCATTCTATTTGAAACTTAGATGGGTCTGAATGCTTGTTCTGTGCCTTTTAGTGTGTCTGCTAATTTCATTCTCATGCCATATGCAGAATTCATCAGTTGTCCTGGCTGTCAAGGTATTTTGTTTCCTGATCGGAGAGGGAAAAGTATCCCAGAAATGCACCTCTTTGGGTGTGCCTGATAGAGTTATAGAGTTGATGCAGCTTCATAGAGAGGATGGAAAAATATCCAGGAAAAATCTCAAAAAAGTTCTTAGGAGGTGATGGAGGAGCCCAGTGAAGTGGGAGGTAAAACCACGATTAAGGGTTGGCTGTTAAATGAATATGATGCACAAGTGGAGACAAAAAAGGAAACAAACAAACAAACAAACAAACATTAAGATTGATGGCTGTGTCCAAGACCAACTTTAAAATTGAACATTTTTCTCAAAAACGTTGATCTTTGCCATCAACACAAAGCTTAATAAGAATTCTTGTTATTCTTGATATTGTATAATAGTAATGCCTTAAGTAATAGATTATTTAAAAGGGGGATTTGAAAGGAATAAACTAGAAAAGATACTGTTAGAAGACGAAAAATGATGAAATGATGAAAATAGGAATTTGCCTTAAACAGATCCAAAACAAATTAATCTTTTCTGACCAGTCATTGACTCTTTCCTTCTCCTCCATAACAGTTGGTATCTAAGATGTCTTTATGCTAACTCTGAAATGTTTCTGGAACCACGTCCTTCATAAGCCATTTGCAATGATTCATTTGCAGAGTGTCAGGTCCTAGAGCATGCTGGCTGCTTCTAATGATTTAACTGTGGAGTCCATTTAAAATCCCAGTCTCATCTTCATATGTTCCTCCAGTTCAAGTTAGTCCTGTGGGACCAGTAGGAGGAAGAAGGCGTGGTTCACGTTTTCATGCCTTCTAGCCTCCTTCTGGTTTTCACTGATGGAAATTGGGACCCAGAGGGGACGTAGGGCAAAAGGGCCAGATCTCTTCTGATAGGAGGTCATTCTCTGTTGGTTGT